AGGGAATGTTGACTTTCTTTTCAAGATCATTCTTATCCCAACTAAATACCTATGCCATCGGCATGTCCCATCTCTTTATCATTCCTTTTAATTTCACGTTTTACCCTCAACAAAAGAAGAAAACAAATAGGATATTATTCGTCTGTATTAAATTTCACGTTTCTAGTATTACCTGTTGTTTGCGTACTAGCGTTAACATGGCAACCAACGAACATTTAAAAAAAAAATTAACCATGATATACTTTGTAACGATATACCGGCGATATATATTTTATTGGTACGTTCAACATAACGTACCTTTGGATTTTAATTCCGCTTAATATGTTTTTGTTCTTTCCACCTCAAAGTTTTTGTGCTCTCCTCTAAGGCCGGGGATTGAACTCACAACTCTTAGGATCAATCAACCAAAGCTTTTATCCAAAAAGGTAAGAACACAAACTTATCAAGGCGAATTAACTGAAAATAAGTCATGGTATGTGGAATTAAAATTAGTCCCTGTTGACTAAATACACGTTTCGGTTCGAAGTTCCAACGTCTGTCACCTGAAGAAGGCCGAAGCGAACAACGACTGAAACGTCGTGAATATGGCAATGAAGATGAGGAAGACTGTTCGAACAATGTAAATAGTATAAATAGTTAAAATATCTCAGAAATATAGACAGATACTGAAGAAAGCTAGAGCATACAATGACAGAAACGTCGTGAGTTTAACAATAAAGATGAGAACAGTCCAAACAATGGAAATAGTGTAAATAGTTAAAATATTTCATCTCAGATATATAGACAGATCTATAAACAACTTTAAAATATTGCGATAACGATATGATTGTAAGTCACTATTTAATGAAGCAAGAGGGTACAAATGAAAAGATTTTAAATCGACACGTTTTTCCATTTCACTGAAGCCAACGTTAAACACATGAGAAGGTTATCACCTTCCTTTATCTTCTCTCTCTCTTCCTTGTTCTTACTGCAACCAAACAGAGTCACTGATATATCTTTTCCGTCTTTACCCATGATCAAGGCGGAATAGTCCCTTATTTATGAGGTACTGGTAAGAACTGAAGGAACAAAGTCATATGTTCTTATTGTGGAATGAAGCACCCAGCTGAAAAACAAAATGGAATTTTAATATGAGACAGCCTAAAAAAATTCAAAGCATTTATCTATGCTGTATTTATATTTCTCGATTCCTGTCTTTTGAGAGAGCTATAAACTGGCGGTGATGTTATGGAAAGAAAGACACTTCTTAAAGTTGATAAACACACTCTATAATGGGATGAGGAGAACAAACTCAAGCAGTTGTCGATGCACAGTTTGAAATTTTCATTCGTAAAAATTACAACAGGAGATTTGCCCCTGTCTGTCAATATGGCTATCCCCAGCAAACGCTACGTGCTATATAACATGGGGAGAGACGCGGATCACTAATGTAATTATAAGAGTTCTCAATGTCAATTCAATCTTAGCCATCGCGAAGAGCGGCAAATCTCCCCACAAATTACTTGTGTACGCTCCGAGCACGAATAATACGGTCGTCCACAACAGGCGTATCACGTTCGCACAATGGTCGCCATCTTGGATACATGAAAGCACATGCCGGAAGTGGAATGGTTCAGTCGTGCGACTCTTAGCTATTGTCGCTAGGGGGCGCATTTGTCATGAAAGACGATGATCTTTTAAACTGAAGGAGGAAATTGAAGGGGGACATAATTTCCGAGTCCCGTTTATAGTACTTGGGAGTTAGACGATCTTGGCTGCTAGTGGTCACCATATGCAGTAAGGAGCCATGTCCGTGTGGTTAACTGTCGCCTCCCTCCGTCGGCTACCATTTACAGTGCACACCCCGCCAACGGGCGTGACGCTTGCTAATTGTCGACACGATCTTACATTTGTTTTAGCTTTAGAAGAATTTTCTCAATAATTCGACGCCATTACAGTCGAATTGACCTCGTATGGGTGGTGAAGGTTTGTTGGTTTATTGGAGAAAATCGATCAACATCACGCCTTCAACCTTCGGCCATCTTAGATAACAATTTTGATTAATAGTTTTTTCTTCATTTTTTTACGCTTTCCGCCATTTTTAGAAGAGTATTCATTATTTTTTTCTCTTTCTTCACGTTTATGTATTTAATGTTATTTTTTCTTCTTTTGTCGTTTTTTTTTTCTTTATTTTTTTCGTTTGAGGAAGTTATTTTCCTTTTTGTATTTCTTCTTTTCATTTTTTTCTTCTTCATTTTCTCTTGATTTCATTTCTTCTTCTTCTTCTTTTTCTTGATTTCATTTCTCTTCATTTCTCTTGATTTCATTTTTTCTTCTTCTTCATTTCTCTTGATTTCATTTTTTCTTCTTCTTCATTTCTCTTGATTTCATTTTTTCTTCTTCTTCATTTCTCTTGATTTCATTTTTTCTTCTTCTTCTTCATTTCTCTTGATTTCATTTTTCTTCTTCTTCTTCATTTCTCTTGATTTCATTTTTTCTTCTTCTTCATTTCTCTTGATTTCATTTTTCTTCTTCTTCTTGATTTATTTTTTCTCTTCTTGATTTCATTTTTCATTTTTTTTCTTCTTCATTTCTCTTGATTTTTTTTCTTCTTCTTCATTTCTCTTGATTTCATTTTTTCTTCTTCTTCATTTCTCTTGATTTCATTTTTCTTCTTCTTCATTTCTCTTGATTTCATTTTTTCTTCTTCTTCATTTCTCTTGATTTCATTTTTTCTTCTTCTTCTTCATTTCTCTTGATTTTATTTTTTCTTCTTCTTCATTTCTCTTGATTTCATTTTTTCTTCTTCTTCATTTCTCTTGATTTCATTTTTTCTTCTTCTTCATTTCTCTTGATTTCTTCATTTTCTTCTTCTTCTCATTTCATTTCATTTGATTTTCTTCTTTTCATTTCTCTTTTTCATTTCTTCTTCTTCATTTCTCTTGATTTCATTTTTTCTTTTTTTTTTCATTTTCTTCTTCTTCATTTCTCTTCGTTTTTAACCTCTGCATCCTAATTAACCGCGCTATTCTTTTCGTTGTTGCAAAGTTAGTCATTGATTATCTCCCTTTACGTCATATTAATTTACATACACCATCTCTGTTATTCTCAAAACTACAGACGTTTTTTCTTAGATATAGATCTTTTTCAAAATTTATTTTATGCTTTTATTCCCTCTTCGAATGTCTTCCTCCTACTCCTCCATCTTTTTCTCTTCTTCTTTGTCTTCTTCCCTAATTTTTTGCTTTTTCTTCGTTCATACCACAGAAATCTGTTTACTTCTTTCTTTTGAGCATTTAAACGTTTATATTTCTTTATTATTCACTTTTCAATGTTTTTTCTTTACCCAAATCTATTAGTTTTATATTTTTTCTTCTTTTCTTTCTTTAACAGACTCGAGTTAAAAAAAAATTATTTGTTTCCTTGTTAAATTTTTTGGTATTTTTAAAATTTATTTTCCGTAATTTTTATATTACAGTTGCCTTTTGAATTATTTTCTTCCTTTTATTCTTTGTTTTTTTTTATCGCATTTAACTTTATGCCTTTTATTTTTCATCTTTAATAACGTTTACTTCTGTAACGTTTTCTTTCTTTCTTTCTTTCTTCCTTTCTTTCTTTCTTTCTTTCTTTCTTTCTTTGCGATTTGCATTATTCTTAATTTCTATTTCCTTTGTATTTTTCTTTTTTCTTTCTTACGATTATAATTGAATTTAACATCTTACTTTCTATTGAATTTGCCGTTTCGTTTTTCTTTCTTTCTTTATATTAAATTATTTTTTCTTTCTTATATCCACTCTTTCTTTTTATTTCAGTTGCTTTTTTATTTTTTCTTTCTTTCCATTCAATTTACATGTTTCTTTCTTTCTATTTCTTTTGGATTTTCGTTTTTTTTCTTTCTTACGATTCTAACCGAATTAATATATTTCTTTCTTTCTCTCTTTCTTTCTTTTTTTTTCTATTTAATTTTATTTTTTTGTTTCATCCATTGTTTCTTCGATTCTTGTTGTTTTATTTCCGTTTTATTTCCAGTCATCTTTTTTCTTTATTTTTTTCAGTTTATTAATTTATTTCTTTTACGACTGAATTTTGTTTTCTTCTGTCTTCCTTTTTTCTTTCTTACTTTCTTTTTCAGTTGTATTTCTATTCTTTCTTTCTTTCTTTCTTTCTTTCTTTCTTTCTTTCTTTCTTTCTTAATTGTTTTTTATATCTTTCTTTTTTATATTTAATTTGCTTTTTCTTTCTTTCTTTTAACCGAATTTGAATTTTTCTGTCATTCATCCATTGTTTTTTTTATTTTTTTTATTTTAATTCCATTTTTTTCGATTCACATTTCTTTCTTTTCATTGAAGTACACATTTTTCATTGTTTTCAATTTATTAATTTATTTGTATTACAACTGAAATTTTTATTACGTCATTCTTGTTTTTTATCTTTTTCCTTTTCTTTCTTTTTTCTTTTTATTCCTTTTTCTTTTTTCTTTCTTTCTATCTATTTCTATCGCTTTATTTTTTTTAATATTTTTTTAAAAAAACATTTCTCATTAATTTCCTTTTGTATTTGTTTCTTTTCTTCCCATCGTTTTTTTGTCATCCTTTGCTCGTCCTTCCTCCATTTGTAAAGTTTTCTTTCTTATTCTCCACAGACCCTCTGAGTGTTTTCTTTCTTGTTTCTTTTCAATTCTCTTTTCTCTTTTAATTGTCCTTGCCTCAATTTAACGCCTTCCGTTTTACTCACTTGTTCTGCAAAAGCACGATCTGACATATTAAACATTATAATAGCCACGTTGGCTTTTTGTCTTTTTAAATATTTGACCTTCCGTTCCCTGAAGGATGTTGCTCTCCTCTGTTGGCGCGCACCGGAAATAAAGGCTTCAGAATTAAACGAAAGAAATATTGAGAAACAATTGTCTGAAAGCAGAACAGAAAATAAACTCGAACGCAAAATGATTCACGAATTCCTTCGTTTTTGTCATGTTCTTCCATCAAAGGTATTATTTCTTTAACTTTTCTGGTTGAATTATGCATCATTTTATGGGTTTCACTCATTCTAATCCCTTGTTCATTCATTCTCTTTCTTTTCTTTTTTTTTTATTCATTCTCATTTTTATTCGTTCTCTTTCTTTTTATTTATTCATTTTTTATTCGTTCTCTTTCTTTTTTATTTATTCATTTTTTATTCGTTCTCTTTCTTTTTTATTTATTCATTTTTTAATCGTTCTCTTTTTATTCGTTCTCTTTCTTTTTTATTTCTTCACTTTTTTATTCGTTCTCTTTCTTTTTTATTCATTCTCTTTTTATTCGTTCTCTTTCTTTTTATGCCTTCTTAAATTTAAAATATTTGAAAAACTAATAACATTTTTGTTCTTCTACATAAATACTTGTTACAAAATAAATTCCTTGCATTTGCCTTGATAAAGTACCTCGGAGGACGAAACACGTTGGCTAAGATAAGTTTTCCTATTGTCTTTATTTATATTGTCATTTTACAGATATAATCTATATGAAATGTTTACACATTATTACTTTTGGTATTTTCTGGTTTTTGATTTTATATTTTTATTCGTTTAGAGTTTTATATTATTTCTTTTATTATTCTTTAATTTTATATTTTATCGTCAATATTTTTATATTATTACTTTATTTTCTAATTTTATATTTTTATTCATTTTTTTATATTTTATTATATTTATTATTTTTTGATTCGCCTCATTCATCAATATCCCAACTTCGCCCCCTTTTTTCTCGTTTTTCTTTTCTTAACCTCTCTTTCTCTCTGGTTGCCTCTTTCTGTCTCTTCCTTTTTTTTTGTCGTTTTCACTCTTTTCTTTGAAGACAGTGAAGGCGATAAGTTCGCCTATCGCCCGGTTCACACTCCTTCCCCATATGCTAGAGGTTTATCCCTTGATTCTTCTTTAAGTTCATTCTCCTAAAGTCTACTCATTTTCTTTCACCGCCAGTAACCCCTTGCGTCTTAGTGACATTATCGCCTTGCTTGGTGTGAAATAATTAAACAAGAAAAAAGCAAACAAACTTAATACTTCAAATTCTCTCTTATTTTTTTCTCTACTTTTTAAAGAATCATTTCACTCCAAGCAAGGCTGTAATGCCAATAAGACGCCAACGAGACAATTTTAATGAGGAGGAAAGAAAATAAAAAACAGGTTTCAAGAAGACAGAAGATGTCTTCTCTCTTTATCTATTTTTCTTTCTCTCACCTGTTAGGATAATTATTTTTTTTATTTTACCTCTTTATTTTGCATGTTTCTCTTTATCTCTTTCTCTGTCTCTGTCTCTCTCTAATTTTTCTCATTTTCACCTTTGTCTTTTCACTTTTAATATCCCGACATTTTTCCCTTCTCTTTATTTTGCCCTTCTCTTCTCTATTTTTCCTCACTATGATATTCCGTTCTCTATTCTTTTCTTTCTTCTTTCTCGACTTATGTCTTTTCCATCATTCTATTTCTCCTTACTTCTCTCTTTTTTCCTCTTTCTTTCTAAACTTCTCTCTTTTTACCCTCTCTAATTTTCTCTTATTTCTCTTTCTTTCTTGACTTCTGTTTTTTCCTCTCTCTACTTATCTCTTATTCCTCTCTTTTTCCTCTCTGATTCTCTCTTTTCCCCTTCTCTCTACTTCTCTCTTTTCCTGCCTTCTTCTCTGTGTTTCCTCCCTCTACTTTTTCTTCTTTTCTTTCTTTTTTCTCCCTCTGCTTCTCTCTTTTCCATCTCTCTACTTCCCTCTTTTTCCTCTCTACTTCTCTTTTATTCCTTTCTCTTCTTCTCTCTTTTTTCTTCTTTCTTTCTTTCTTTCTTTCTAAACTTCTCTCTTTTTACTCTCTCTACTTTTCTCTTTCTTTCTTGACTTCTGCCTTTTTCCTCTCTCTTCTTCTCTCTTTTTCCTCTCTGATTCTCTCTTTTTCCTCTCTCTCTACTTATCTCTTATCCTTCTCTCTACTTCTCTCTTTTCCTGCCTTCTTCTATGTGTTTCCTCCCTCTACCTTTTCTCCTTTTCTTTCTTTTCCCTCCCTCTACTTCCCTCTTTTTCTCCCTACTTCTCTCTTATTCCATTCTCTACTTATCTCTTACCACCCTCTCTCTCTCTCTCCTTTTCTCCTTTTCTTCTCTCTACTTCTCTCTTTTCCCCTCTTTACTTATTCTCCCTATCTCTCTCTCTTTTATTTTTATATCAATTCTTCATCTTTCTAGTCTTTTCCTCTCCAACACTCAATTATTTGTTTGTATTTTTTCTTTTATTCTTCGTTTTGTTAGTTTTCTTTTATTTATTTTTGTTTTTTTTTTCATTCCCGTACAGCTATTCCTACACAATTATTGGTTTTCCCGACTCCATATATAACACTATTAGGACTCACCATGCCACCTACAAGTCGTCAAATCATCCGCATTTCCTCCGTATTCCATTGATAAGAAGGAAGTTTCACTCAGACAGCTTCTTCTCCAGAGGTGTCACTTTATGAGACCGACTCCGTAGATGATGTTCCTTTGATCACTACAATCTTAACCTCTTCAAGTCTCGGGCCAATCATTATCTCTCCTATATATTTGCATAATATGCACACCCCCACCGCCCCCCATTTCCCTTTATAGGTTTACAACAATCTGTTTCAGTAATACTTCAAGTGGCTTTTGCGTTTTATATTGAGTAAATATTATTTAAAAAATTGAATATCTTCTTCGTATAGATGTTGTTAGCACAACGTTTCAGTCGATACATTCTTGGGCTTTAGTCAGCTATAATCGATAGAAAAATCACTTTCTTAAAAAAAATAGCACAGAATGATTGTTAATGTATGTTAACAGGTGGGCGTAGCATGACGGTTGTCGGCGTGGAAAGTGGGCTCGGCATGCCAAGTTCGAATTCCGGTCGAGTTAGTCGCGTTCACTTTTGCATAAATATCCTTAGGAAAAGTATGAATACACCACTTCTCCCCACGAACAACGCGCCATGCATACATAAAAGCGCAAACTTGGCTCTGTAGCCTTAGTTAAACAAAGAACTCCCGAGTGGGTGCTTCCCAAACGGGAGAATCTTAATCTTAAATAAGAACTGTGACTTATAAGGATATGTAGGAGAAGTAAGTGACCTTTGACTTGAGGTTAAGATACTCAGGTTACTCTCTTTGCTACCTTTTCCCCCTCTCTACTTCTCTCTTATTCCTCTTTCTTTCTCGACTTCTGTCCTTTTCCTTTCTCTATCACTCACTTCTTTTTTCTTTTTCTCTCTCTACTCTCTTTTCCTGTGTCTAATTTTCTCATTTCCTCTTTCTTCTTCTCTCTTTTTCCTCTCCCTATTTCGCTCTCATTCCTCTCTCTACTTCTCTCTCATTCCTCTCTCTACATCTCTCTTATTCTTCTCTCTCTTATTCCTCTCTCTACTTCTCTCTTCTCCTTTCCCTCTCTCTAATTCTCTTTTTCATCACTCTAATTCTCCCTTTTCCCTCTCTCTACTTCTCACCTTTTCCCTCTCTCTACTTATCTCTTTTCTCCTCTTTACTTATTCTCCCTATCCCGGTCTTTTATTTTTATATCAATATTTGCTTCTTCTACTCTTTCCTTCCCCGACACGCAAGAGAATCTTAACCTTAAGTCAAAGTCAACGGTCACTTAACTATTCTGCATATCGACATAATCCAGTTCTTACTCCCTACTCTTACAGTCATACTATACATCTAATCCTCTACATTGGGTGGCTCTTGGGCCGTAAAATGCAAAACCAGTTCGGCGTGGGGCCGGCATCTCTACCCGTAAAAACCCACACTAACTATAATAGCCAGATTAACTAATTAGATTATACATAACGTAGGGTGAAGAATAGATCTGTTGAAACGTTACGTTAATAACAGCAAGTATATAAAGAAGAGGTTTAATTGCCCGATGAATGTCGGATATGTTCATGACTTTTCTTATATGAAAAAAGTCATGTACATACCCGACATACCCAGCTATACGGTTACTATGATCATAGTTACCGCTTTCACCTACTATATTCTCTTCCCACTTCCTTTCTTTGCCCACCGGTCTCTCCTCCTGCCACCTCCAGTTCCTTCTTTTAACTGCCCGTCTTACTGCTTTTCCACATTCTTTTCTCTTTCTTTTGTTTTCCCTGTCCATGTCAACATTTCTTTTGCTTTTCTACAATTTATTCATTCAACAGCAACTGCTGCTTCTATTCATGTAATTCGTTGACGAAATAATGAACGCAGTTATAATAAATTTCGTTTTTGTAAGTATCGTCTGTCAACAACGAGATTTCGAGACGGGAGCAGTAATTAATCTCGCTAGCCAAAAGTCAGGTGACAGGAATCTGCGCGCGAAAATATTTAAATGTCGAATGTTTTGTAGCAGAATTAGAATGCTGGGTGAATTTAGATCGACCGTTACTTCCGGTACTGCCGGTCCAAAGAAATCGGCAAACCAATGTTTCTTTTATTTATTGATCATTTTCTTTGTCATTGAATCAATTCTTGACACATGACCCTGAGCCGATATTGGATATTAACACTAATTGCTCCTGCAGATTGCAAGCTAATTCTCAAACAAGTGATTGAAATAGTCGGGAGATTACACACAAACAATCTTTTTCATTCTTATTCTTTTTCGTTATGTTATCTCCTTTCTGTCGTCATCTAATTCTGTTTTCTCTCTGTAAAATTTTTTCGGAGTTATCTTCTCCTAAAATATGACACCACCACTCAGTGAGCTATTCTTAAACTATATATACTTGAGAAAACCCTTTCTCTCTTTCTTCCATTTACAACCTACAACCATGTAAGCTCTCGCAGAAGATACGCGTTCCCACTTGTGGGAAGACGTCGTGACCATTACACACACGCACACACACGTAGGTACGAACATTCACTCACGCATTTCTTGGAACACAAACTTTACACAATTATTTGTTACACATACGTATTGTTTTTGTAATTTGTATGTATTTGTTTGTTAATACACATATAATTGTGTATATATATATATATATATATATATATATATATATATATATATATATATATCGGTCTTGGTTATTTTCTATTACATTTCTTTTGGGTGGACCCATCTAGAGTCTAGAGTCTAGAGTCCGCCATGTTTGTAGTGGACTTTATTTCAGGAGATTACGCGTGTTATATTTGTTATATTCCGTGTTAATAGGAATATATATTTGAAAAGCAAGGTGGATAAAATAAGTAATGGTTTATTGTAAAAAAAAACCAGTACAATAACAATAAAGGTAACAGTTATGCACAAATTCGTCGCAAATCAATCCAGTAGTGAGTGCTACTATTGGGAGGTCGGTAGTTCTCGCGTAAGTCTGAGTTGTACTCAACAGATCCCAGCTAGACAATATTTACCCCTCCCCCACGAGGTAGGATGTGGCACAAGGCCGAATTTAATGTGGGCCGATCCGAGCCCGTAGGCTACGTCAAAAATTCCCTGTAACCACGCATAAACGAGCTCGGGTTTGTTTACCTCCCGGACGAGACTCTGCCCTTCGGCATAGCCTCGTCTGGGTTCCTCTCTGCCTTCGCGCAGAGAGTTCGACAACAGCTAAGAGCTGAGTAACAGATCCTAGCTAGTATATTTACTAACCGCCCCACGCGATCAGATGTGGCACAAGGCCGAATTTAATGTGTGATTTCCGAGCCCGTAGGTTCAGCCAAAAATTACCTGTATAAAACGGGGTCGGGTAGCTATTTCCCGAGACGAAAGTCTGCACTTCGACATAGAGCTTCGTTTGGGGATCCTCTCTGTCCGGAGGCAGAGAGTTTGACCAGTACAGCTGGAACAGATCCCAGTTAGGATATTTAGCTATACCCCCACCCCCGAGGGCTGCATGTGCCACAAGGCCGGTTTAACGTGGGTTGTCCGAGCCAGTAGGCTCGGCCAAAAATATTCCCTTTTGAACCCGCATAAACGGGTTCAGATCCAGTCTACCTACCCGAACGAGACTCTGCCCTTCGGCGGAGCCTCGTTCTGGTTCCTCTCTGTCCGAAGGCAGAGAGTTCGAATGTTTAGCTGCAACAGATTCCAGTATATTTAGCTACCCCCCCCCCACACACAAGGGCTGCATGTGGCACAAGGCCGATTTAGCGTAGGCTCAGCCAAAAATATTCGCTTTCGAACCTGTATAAATGGGTTCAGGGGGAGTCAACTTCCCCGAACGAGACTCTGCTCTTCGGCGGAACATCGTCCGGGTTCCTTTCTGCCTGAAGGCAGAGAGTTCTACTGTTTAGTTGGATCAGATCCCAGTTAGACTCTGTAGTCCTTTGATTTACAGATACTTATAGTAAGTTACTATTTATAGTGTAGTCACTCATGGGGGTGACAGGCTATTCCATTACATCAATTTCACAATGCGTATGAACACACGATCCGTTACAAACTTATGCCGCAAAATAAACATCAATAAAAAGAAACAATCTTTTTTTCACGGACGAAATGTTGCAGGCCTCTCGCTACTCTGTCATTATCTTCATGGCAAATATTCAGGCAAGTTACTTCCCTTAGTTTCACCAGTTCAGACCTTCACAACAGGGACCCGCTATGACATATACACAGATTCTATTCATCCTTATTCGTTAATGATGAAGAAACTCAGACAACTTCTTCCCCAGAAGTGTCACGTTGAGTAACTGATTCCCGAAAATATGTTTTCCCGATTATTGCAATCATAATAACTTCAAGTCCAGCTCAAACCGTTATCTACCCTATATGACTTAATAATATGAATTTCTCCAGTCCTCTTTGTACGTCCTTTGTAGCAGTTTTTTTTTAGCTTTCTTTAGGAAGTGAAGGAAAGCGAGGACAAAAAATTTAACTTCAACTGCAAGAGGACAGAATGCATAGTTGTTAGCTAAAGCATGGGCCCAAAGTGCGAATTGCAAATCGGAGATACCAAAATCAGATGTCCGGAAACTGACAACGAGGTGATTCTGAGAGAATTAGAACTTCTTCCAGGATTCACTTTTGATAAACACAATCTAAACAACATAAGGTATGCAGATGACACAGTGTTCGTAGTAGACACGGAAAGAAATCTACAAAAAAACCCTACAGAAAGCAGAGAAGGAATGCGAGGTGAAAGCATTAAACATCAACTACAAGGGAACGAACAGAATGCATATTTTTTTAGCAAAAGGATGAGTCCAAACTGCATATTGCAGATCGGAGATACCAAAATCAGATAAGTCCGGAAATTTAAATATCTGGGAAGTGTTTTAACAGAGAAAAGAAAAGTATGACACTGAAATCCGAAGTATTCCAAAAACCAGAATAATAAGAAATAAAAACACTTCACTAGAAACAAGGAAAAAAAGTACTGAGCTGTTATGGGATATCTGTCCTCCTGTCTGGCAGTGAGTGCTGGACAATCTCCTCAAAGATGAAGAAGAGACTTGAAGCAACAGAAATATGTTTCTACAGAAGGATACTGAGAATACCATGGACGGAATATATGAGCAACAACAAAATTTTAGAGAAAATAGCAACAGAATGGAAACTTTTACATAACAACAGAAGAGACAGCTAAGTTTTCTTGGGCACATAATGAAGAAAGAGGGATTGGAAAATCTGATACTTACAGGGACAGATTGACGGCTTGAGTAAATGGATGACGGAACAAGGTTTAGTAGAAATAACAGAAAGACAAAATTTATTAAGAGTGGCAGGAAGATGTGGAGAGCAATGCTCGCCTACGTTCTGAGGGAACGTGGCATATAGAGAAGAAGGACCCTTTAACATTTATTGGCGGAATAACAGTATACAAAACAAATTAATATATTTTCGTGCTGGAAATGAGTCATATTATTAAAGTTTTTGCCTAATAGCACCATTATCCTGTTGGATTCTATATATGCATTGTCAAATGAGTAAGGTTTCTTTGATCTCAGCTTCATATGAAGACGATTGATGGGTCTTGTCAAACAGTACAGTGCAAGGCTTCAGAGCAGACATTCAGGCTTACAGCCATATCATATTGTAACACCTCTTCTCGTATGATCACAGAAGTTAAGCAACATCGAGCTTGGTCAATAATTGGGTGACCGCTTGGGAATGCTAGGTTCTGCAAGCATGGATGTGCGATTGGAATGGCTTTCAACCATATTTCGTTTAAACACCTGTCGCGTATGTTCACCGAAGTTAAGCAACATCGAGTCTGGTCAGTACTTAAATGGGTGACCGCTTGAGAATGCCAGGTTCTGTAAGCATAGATGTGCGATTGGTATGGCTTTTGGCTATATCTCGTTTAAACATTTGTTCTCGTATGATCACCGAAGTTAAGCAACGTCGTGCCTGGTCAGTATCTAACAATGTCAGTTGCTGTAAGCTTGTTGTAATGGATAAAAGCTCGGAATTGTTGCTCAGAGAGCCGAGTTCGGATTCCAGTCGGGTTCGTTATATTCATATTCGCGCAAATACAATTGGGAAAGATTTGAATTTACCGCTTCTTTCCTATCTGTCGGTTAATTAGTAGAACTTGTATCAGCAAAGTCATTATTAACTCAAAAAGAATTCTTACAATTTAAAAATGTTTTCTGGCTTTAAATAACCTGCGAAAATGTTGACAAACCGTAAAAAATGATGAATCAATGAAAGCCTTGCTTCATCCACCTAACGACCCTCCTTTGATAGCCACAAAATTTCATTTGTTTTGGCTCTTGAAAGATGCAGCCTAGTGAATAGAGGTTCTCCAATGAGACAACTCGAAGACGCCTAAGAAACTGATACATGCCCTCAATCCAAGGTGGAACAACTCAATTAAGAAAGAAGCAAACTTAGATGAAGACGACATTTGTTATCCTGAGATTGTGAGGTTCGTTTTCATCTCTTTTGTGTCTTTCTAAAATGTCGATTTATCAACGTCATTGAGACGCAATGGATTGCTTGGCATAAAAGACTATAAGGAAAAGAAAGTCATTTATAAAGGAAAGGGAACAATAATGATTAAAAAAAAAAAACAGGAATTAAGAAGACAGAAGACAACGATTGACATTGCACTTAAATTTTCGAAGTGCAATCTTGACCGGAAAGCAAGAACCTTTTTTGTCTTCCATCATCATGGCTGATGCTAACCCGTTGCACCTTCTCCGGCTAACGTCTTACGCTGACATGAAGTAAAAAGATTTTATTGAATTAAATACAAGATCCGCTGACGCATCGAGCCAGACAATTTTTCTCGATAGAATCTTACATCTTTATAAGTTTACCATTCATCCGTGATTTGAATATTGCTGCCACATCTGACCTGGTGTTCCTGCTATATATTTAGAGATTCTTAATAAAATCCAAAGAAGAATTTGCAATGTTATTGGACCTTCTTAAACATTAATCAAACAGGATTATAGTATTTCGTCGATTATCTAGGAGCATTAGGACAGAAGTGAAAAATAAATCTTAGGACGGAGATTCAGATGATAATTTCTTACCTAATTTATTGGAAAAGAAAAATGTCATTTTCTGAAAGAAATCTAACATTTATCTCCTCAAATAACATTTTTAAAGTTTCAAGGTTTTTCTCTTGTTTATTCTTTATGAAAAAATACGTCACCTTTCGTTTGTGTTCGCTTGGCCTTACGTTTTTCTGCCACCAAATCTCGAAGTTAGATTTAAAGTAGAAATATTTTCAGGCTGAAAGCGCAACTGACTTAAACATTTGCCAAACATCATCATTACTTTGGTGTTTCTAAATTGTGCATAGGGGATGTTGAACTTTGACATGAGCAATATCATTATCATCTCCCTCCCCCTCTTCAATATTTTTCGGCACGGCTATAAAGTCAACCTTCCTATGTGCTGAGAAAACAATTCCGAACGATTTGTTTTTTTACTGTTTATCAACCATTTTTTTTTACAGTTATTTAAAGCTGAGACATATTTTTGATTATAAGAATTTTTTGGGGATAATAATGATTTTCTAATACATGTACATAGATGGGTGAGAAGAAAGGGATTTATAACCTTTCCCAAAGGTATTTGCACGTAAGTGAATATTTTTAACGGTTTATCAACACTTTATTTAAAGCTAGAAAACATTTTTAGTTTCTAAGAATTTTTGATTTTAGATATTAATGATTTAGTTATACAAGTCCTACTAATTAATCCATCGCTGTGGGAGAAGCGGTGAATTCATACCTAATTTAAATTTAATAAACGAACAAGAAACAAGTTTTTGTAGGTTATTCAAAGCCATAAAATATTTTACATTGTAAGAATTTTTTTTAGATATTAATGATTTAATTATACACTCCTACGATTTAACCCATAGTTGGGGGAGAAAAGGTGGATTCATATCTAATAAGAATTTAATAAAAAAAAAAAATACAATGCGGATATAAAGTGGGATGTTCAATTATATATTAAAATCAATATATAAACTGATCCCTCACTTTGTACCCGCAGTAATTTTTATACATTCGTATTCCTAAGAATGTAAATAAATCTAAAAGACCTGCCTGTGTAGCTAATCAGTAGTTGATTGATCGATTGATTCGGTTTCTACAGCTTATCAACTTTTTGCAGGTTATTTAAAGCCAGAAAATATTTTTTAGATTGTAAGAATTTTTTTTAACTACAATAGGATCAGGGTCATTAGCCTCCTCCCACTCCTCCTCTTCAACATTTTTCGGTGCGATTATAAGTTAAACTTTGCTACGTGATCGGCAAAGAAAAAGACATTCCGTTACCCAGTCATTTTCACATTAAAGCAGGGTTCACGTGTGTTACGCGCATCCGAGAATTGCGTATGCCAGGTTTTTCAAACTGTGGGTCCCGGCCTTTCAGTGGGTCACGAGATAAAAAAAAAATGGGTTGCGACTGGAGAAGAAAAAAATACGCAAGTGAGAGCAGAATATTTACAATTTTAAATCTCATAAATCATTACTAGCTTTTCACAGAGAAAATCTATATATATATATATATATATATATATATATATATATATATATATATATATATATATTTAATTTTCGAATAAATAATTTTGTTCGCTTTACTCTGTATTGAACACTCTTTTAAGAACAGTAATCGTTGGTTATTGGAATTTATCCCGTATACACCAATCCTATACTTGGATATTAGCTCCTATTCCTGCTGAGCAATGTCTATTCTATTCTTATACTATGGAGAAAATAAATTTCGGATTATCTCTTGTATTTATAATTTAGAATAAATAATATATATATATATATATATATATATATATATGATTTTTTTCTTCATTCTGTCGGATCTATATCCATTTACATTTGCTTACATATATATATATATATATATATATATATATATATATATATATATATATCAGTAACTATGCAGGTAAGTCTTTCCTTCTTGATCTCTGTTTTACCTCCATCCCCGAGTCTTGCTGTGTTACGCCGCTCTGCCCTCTCGGCATCTCTGATCATGCCGTCGTGTCTGTTAACTTCCCCGTGCGTCTGAGGTCTCATCCTGGGCAAAAGCTGGAATCAAACCTTTCATCCATGCACGAAAATATAAAGTGAAATCGCGTTCTTCCCCTGGGTTCTCAGCTGTTATTGCCCACAAGAATCACTACTTCCATCTGTGCCGTAGAGACATGTCTGATTACAACCGATGTCCCTTTGTCACTGCTCGTAACGTGTGCAAGCTTCTCCTTAATTAAGCAAAGTTACTCTTTGCCGAAAGAATGAAACAAGTCTCGCAAGTTTGGGTCTAAATATTATTGTCGGCTCTGCAAAAGCGTGCTGAACAACAGCCAACCCACAATACCTCCTTTATTCAACCAATTTAAGGTCCTGACCTCCTCAGCTGATAAGGCTTAATGCTTTGCTCGGAAATTCTCATCCAATTAAACGTTGATTTTACTCCTAGAATTGAGGCTCTACTGAGTGAGATGTACATAACCACAAGGATGGTATTGGACATTTTTTCTAAATTAGACTCCCATGAGGCTAGTGGTGGGGATGGGATACCGGTCATTGTTCTGAAGAAATGTGCTCCTGAACTGGCTCCTGTCCTCTCTAAACTTTACAACTACTGCCTCACTGACACTTCCTTTCCAGCGTGTTGGAAGTTCTCATCTGTTGTGCGTGTTTTAAGAATTCTGGTGACCCTTCTGACCCGTCTAACTACTGTCCTATCAGTCTCCTACCACTCTTCGAAGCTTTAATCAACGCCGAAGTGGTTAAGCACCGACTTCCCATAATCTGCTCTCCGACAAGCAATATGGTTTTCGCTTTGTCCGATCTACCACTGACGTGCTTACAGCCATAACTGAAATTTTATACCAAGCACTCAACAATAACGGAGAAGATCGATCCGTGGCTCTAGACATCTGTAAAGCTTTTGATAGGGTTGGCATGCTTGCTTTCTTCGTAAGCTTTAAGAATACGGTATTACAAAACGATTATTTGACTTAATATAATAATTCCTGTCAAAGGGTGAAATGAAGGTCGTCCTAAACGGGTTCTCCTCCAGCTTCTTTATCAGGAACGCTGGTGTTCCCAAAGGCTCTATCTTGGGCCTTACATTGTTCCTGATCTTCATCAATAACCATCTCGATGTCATCAGTTCCCAAGTAGGCATCTACGCGAACGACATTATTATTTACTCCTGCCTCAATAGTAAATCTGGTGTCGGTGAGAAAACTAACCTGGCTGCCGATCTAGAAAAGGACCTCCAATCTGTGGTTGATTGGGGCAGGAAATGGCTTGTAAACTTTAATGCCTCCAAAACGGAACTTCTCTCCTTTACTCACCACAGAGAACCCTCCCTGCCTCCCATCAGAATGTCTGATTCCCAACTACCCGAGAGCCCCTGGTTACACCTGCTTGGTCATACGCTATCCGCTGACATGAGGTGGAACAAATACATTGAATCAATAGCTTCACCTACAGCAAGGAAAGTGGGTTCTCTTTGTCGTGCCAGAAAGTTTTTCTCGTCTGAGTCCATCCTTCAAATCTATAAATCAACCATCTGTCCTTGCATGGAATATTGCTGTCATATATGGTCTGGTGCTCCCGCTGTAAGTCTCGAGGTCCTAGACAAAATCCAGAGATGAATATGCAATGCGATAGGTCCTGATCTGGCATCTAGTTAACAGTCCCTTTCTCAGAGACGGTGTCGCGGCTTCCCTTTGTCTCTTCTACAAGTATTTTTACGGCAACTGTTCCGACGAGCTACTTTTGCTAGTTCCCAGACTGCATGCATTTAAGCGAACTACTTGACT